TTGAGTTTCCCCTTTAAAGTAATCTTATCGGATTGAGTCTTTTATGAGAACACTTGATGTATGTCTTGCGTGGGATAACCGTGGTGACAATGGGTTATTCTATTGATCCACTTGATGTATGTTTTGGTGATCAACTTGCGGGTTTTGTGACATTGGGAACCTATGCATAGGGGTTGGCACACGTTCTTGACTCTCCGGTAGTAGCTTTGGGGCACTCTTTGAAGTACTTTTATGTTGGTTGGATGAATCTGAGATTGTGTGATGCATATCGTATAATCATGCCCACGGATACTTGAGGTGACAATGGAGTATCTAGGTGACATTAGGGTTTTGGTTGATTTTTTGTCTTAAGGTGTTATTCTAGTACGAACTCTTTTATAGATTGATCCGAAAGAATAACTTTGAGGTGGTTTCGTACCCTACCATAATCTCTACGTTTGTTCTCCGCTATTAGTGGCTTTGGAGTGACTCTTTGTTGCATGTTGAGGGCTTCTTATATGATCTATCTATATTATTATTATCGAGAGAACTTGCACTAGTGAAAGTATGAACCCTAGGCCTTGTTTCCTATCATTGCAATACCGTTTACGCTCACTTTTATCACTTGTTACCTTGCTGTTTTTATTATTTCAGATTACAAATACCTTTATCTACTATCTATTTTGCATTTGTATCACCATCTCTTCACCGAACTAGTGCATCTATACAATTTACCATTGTATTGGGTGTGTTGGGGACACAAGAGACTCTTTGTTATTTGGTTGCAGGGTTGCTTGAGAGAGACCATCTTCATCCTATGCCTCCTACGGATTGATAAACCTTAGGTCATCCACTTGAGGGAAATTTACTACTGTCCTACAAACCTGTGCACTTGCAGGCCCAACAACGTCTACAAGAAGAAGGTTGTGTAGTAGACATCAGCTAGTACTAGGGTTTTCCCTAGTAATGCCATTGTTTCATCAACTCAATATTACACATATAATTTGAGTGATCAAAACACTAATTTGAGACAACATTGCATTACAAATACATAGCGGTGGAAAATTTTATTTGTGATATTTCCATATTAGTAAGCATCGATGGCTTTTTACCTCTCGGGAGAAGCATTGAATGGGGCCATCTACCGCTCCCTACCATGTCGATGGTGAATGCTATGCACAAAGCATATGCGATGTATATGAGACGAGTCCACTCGTCCTCTATGTGCAGCGGTATGACAATCCGGCAACCTCGTCTTCGTCCCATTCATGCCATGTGCAGTCGTCGAGGTCAAAGACGACTTCCTCAATGGGGCTAGGGCTGCAAGAAAAGCTCGATGCTCATGAGCCGCTCGAGATCGATTCATTTTTTGGCTTGACTCAAGATCGACTCAATAAGAAATGAGTCGAGTATGACTGTATGAGCACCTTTTTGTAGCTCAATCAAGAAACAAGTTGATCTTGAGCCAACCATGGCTCGCTCGATTTCAGCTCAATAGCTCGATATAATATAATTATATTACATAGTCTTGATATAAATTAAAAGGAAATAGGATGATTTACTATCATATATGTGGTGTATGGTTTCTCTTCATTTTATTTACTAGCAAACTAGGAAGCTTAATTAAGCACGGAGAAAAATTAGGCCTTAATTTGGTACATGATCAGCTGCGTGTTAAATATCCTGCTATTTTTGTCAACGTTTGGGAGTAGATCCAACTTTGTTTCGCAATTCATCAAGGATCTCTTGCTATTAGTTACTTGTCTTCATTGAGAGAATACATAAAACTACCTTGAAAAAGATATATTATCACCATTTCGATTAAAATAATATTCTATAATAGTTTCTGATGTTGTGTTGTGGCCGATCTTGTTCGAAAAATTGCCTTAGATTGTTAAAAATATCATCTTATTTAGCTCGAAACTAGCTCGAGATCGACTCAAGATAGTTACAAGCTGAGCATGAGCCACTTTCTAGCGCTCGACCTTGAGCTTCACCCAGTTTGAGCTCGCTCGAATTTTAGTATGAGTTGAGTTGAGCCTAATCCAACTTGCTCGAACTTGACTCGTTTGCAGCCCTAAACGGGGCAAGACCCAACATGGTGCGATTCATCTCCTCAAATCTTGCCATATTGACATTGAATTAGCGCCACTACCACACTCCCACACTGCCATGAAGTTCGTCTGTGTCCCATCATAGAGGAGTCATACTACGATGTTTCTATTGGATGTGAGCATCCTCCTAGTGGCGGCCTGCTCGAAGATGCTAAGGTAGAAGGCCGACGCGCGATGGTGTACCACTCATCCCATGCCCCTTAAATAGTGAGATAACGGGGAGCCCGTGTTGGGACGCGGTGGGCGAGGCCTCTTTTTCCCATAAGGGGTCTACGCATAGCCATGGTCGAGATCCCAATCAACGGCGTGTGTTTTGGGATCCCAATCCGGCGACTCATTGAGGAGGGAAGGATCCTCCTGCGCAATTTTCTCTGTGGCACGACTATCCAACTCCTCCTCCTCAACGATGCCGACAACCTCCTCCACCGCTTCCTCCTCCTCGAGTAATTGTTCCTCCTCTTTTGACAGCGGAATCCAATCCAACCCAAGGGGAAGCGACATAATGAAAGTGAAGAGGAAAGTAGAGAGAAATAGAAGCTCTGTGTGACATGGTAGAAGTGGAGAGGGGCGACCTTTTTATATCCACACGCGGCGTAAATACGTGGCAGGCGCCGTGCGGCGGGAAAACATGCCTGGAAAAGGGTGGAAAAGAATGCGATCAGAGGGATTACGTGGCAGAAAGATGTGTGGGTAGTTGCATGTCACGACCACCATTAATTGTCGCTTTCCGGTGCAATGGACGTCTGACTGTCTACACAATTGGCGGGAAAGGGAGATGAGCCGTATGCCAGAGTGATGACGGGTGAAACTCTTCTCTTCCGCCCGAGCGATTTACGATGGAGCGCGTTTTATTTTCAAATACGAAATCCCGCGGGCTCAATATAAAAGATCTTCATAACTTATGGCGATGAGGGCCAGACATGGCTATCCTGGAACGGTATTTTCGATCTAAATCATTTTGTTCATAAAATATAAGTTTTTTTAGAGATTACAATGTGAACTACATACGAAGCAAAATGAGTGAATTGCACTCTAAAATATGTCTATATGTACATCTATATGTTATCGCTATTGAAATATCTAAAAAGACTTCAATTTAGAAATGTCGATTGTTAGTGCAATGGCGATTTGGTTAGTTATGATTATTCCCCATCGACCTCAAGCAAACGTTCCTTTCGTCGAAAAAAAAGAAAGAAAAAGTTGAGGTTCAGTTTATCCAACGACAACACCGCACGCCGCCTTCTCTCTCCGCTCGTCCTGGTCCTTCTCTCCAGCGCGAGCACCGAGCAGCGCGCCGGCGATCTCCCGTCGCCGACCCACGAGCCCCGACGCTGGCAACCTCCCTTAGCCGCCCCTTTCCTCCACCACGAGCCCCGAGCAGCAACGCCCGACCTCTACCTTCCCTTCCCGGGGCATCTCCGACAAGAACCGCGACGGTGCGCCGCCTCCCCTCTTCCCTCCCTTCTCCATTAGGTTCCTCGTTCTCTGGTGGCCGGATCGATCCTGTTGCACTGTTTTTAACCGATCTGGCTTAGTTCTAGGGTTTTGGTCGAGCCGTCGTGCTTAGGGCTGTAGATCTGGTCCACCCTGTGGTGCTGATGGTTGGGATCTTGTGGTTCGCGAGGAACTTTGTAGCGTTTTGTTGAATGTGCGCGTGATGCCTTAAGGTTTCGCTCCATGGCTGGTTTGGGTGGTGGATTCGGGAGAGTCAAGGTTATTTTTGTGTGCCTGCATTTCCTCCATGTTTTCTTGGTTCCATCCTTTGGTTTGACAAGAACAGGCAATCTTTTTCTAACTCTGGCTTAGTTAATTAAGAGTGAATTCGGCGATCATCACAAATCCAATTACGTAACTAGGAAAAAATAGTATACTGCCGCTATTATAGCTACTGACTAGCAGGGTGACCTGCGCGAATTGAGCGGCTAGATGTAATACATATGATTTATTATATTTAATATATCTTAATAGGGAGTTGCGTGAGGTGTCATCTAGCCACCACCGGGGTATTCTTTTCCCGAGTGCATGGTTTGCCGCCTTTGTTGCTCTCTTTATGGGCATATATATTTTGGTATTATAAGGTCCTTGTGCGTTCCTTTTATTTGGTGCTTGGTGTTCAGCTGAGTTTTGTCGCCGAGTTTTATCACTTATGAACTTGTAATAACCTATTTGGCTGTGTGGGAGAGAGCAATAAAATTCTTCCTTCTATGTATAAAATATTGTGTTTGCAACCATGCTATCAGGAGCCAATACATACATTTTCTTATGCATGCTGCACCTTAAAAAATTTGTTTCATATAACCCACTGACTTATTATGGGCAACATAGTTATAAAGTTTTGAATGTCGATTCATGATGAAAAGAGTTGCACGCGCTCTGAGGTGGTGAGCCTGGGCATTATTAGCTTTTTGTGAATTGTTAGACGATGATAAGTTGATAAAATGTTGTTGCCTTCTATTTACTCTAGTGCTGCAGCCTAAGGAGAACTTGTGATCATTTTACCACATATTTTGTATGTGTCTTGATGGCGAATTCCTAAGATAATATGAATACTGTTAGTATACGGCTAACCTTTTACGGCTTTAGTGTGGTACATTATGAGTGAGATAGTTGAATGTTGGATAGCGTTTTAATCGGTACATTATGAGTGAGATAATTGAATGTTGGATAGCGTTTTAATTTGACGATTAAAACGCTATCCAACATTCAATTATCTCACTCATAATGTACCACACTAAAGCCGTAAAAGGTTAGCAGTGAATAGTGAAACTGATTGTGTATTTTTCTTGTTGCTTCTTGATACTAGTATAGGTTACTCACAATATTGAAGTTAAAAACCTACCTTAAATTTCTTTGTTTTGATTTATTAGCAATTAGACATGTTACGTGTCTTTCAATTTGTTTTGCTATATGGTAGTTTTCTCAACAAATTATTTATGTATATGTGATTTTTATCTTGTACATGCAGTGCCAAAACCGTGCTGCTTAGTTGGGTGCATGACAATGGAGATTGACAGTTTAAGAGAGGCATTTGACCGAGTTGTTGAAAAGCGTGTGTTGTCTTCTGCTAAAGTTCAGGAAGCTATTGGTCAGATAGTGAATGAAGTTGAGCAGGCAATATCGAAGATGCAGATGATGAATACAGATACCATGGACAGTTGTGACCACTCATCCATCCTTGCAGAACTGAAGGCCAAGCTAAACGAAATGGTGCCATTGATCCAACTTGAAGGATGTCAAAAGGAATTGAATGTTGCCCTGAGCAAATATCTCAAGCTCCTAGAGAAGTCTTTTAGTCCAGATATAGCGAAGGCATATAGAAATGTGGATTATGATGCCTGCACAGTAAACAACATAATAACGAATCATTTCTACCGCCAGGGCCTCTTTGATCTTGGAGACTCCTTTGTCAATGAGTGTGGTGAATCAGATGAGACTCACCTGAAATTTTCATTTCAGGAGATGTATGGAATACTTGAAGCGATGCAAGCAAGAAACCTTGAGCCTGCGCTCAGTTGGGCTGCTAAGAACCATGATCACTTGTTGCAGAATAGCTCAATGCTTGAGATGAAGCTCCATTCTCTTCAGTTTATTGAGATACTTACTAAAAGAAGTAGAGATGATGCTTTACAATATGCAAGGACTCACTTTGTGCCTTTTGCCTCCTTGCACACGGCTGAGATCCAGAAGCTAATGGCTTGCCTTATCTGGGCTGACCGGCTTGATCAGTCCCCATATGCCGAGTTTGTGTCGTCGACGCACTGGGAGAAGCTAGCTGAGGAGCTAATCCATCAGTTCTGCAGCCTCCTAGGACAGTCTAGGGAGAGCCCACTTGGTGTAGCCATATCAGCTGGTTTTCAAGGACTACCAACCTTATTGAAGCTAAGCACGGTAATGGCTGCCAAAAAGCAGGAGTGGCAGACCATGAAGCAGCTTCCGGTCCCCATAGACATCGGACCAGAGTTCCAGTACCACTCTGTTTTCGTATGCCCGGTGCTCAGAGAGCAGTCGAGTGAGGATAACCCTCCGATGCTGATGCCCTGTGGACATGCTGTATCAAAGCAGTCGATCATGAAGCTATCAAAGAGCAGCTCCAGGCCTTTCAAGTGCCCCTACTGCCCCTTGGAGGCGGTGGCTTCGCAGTGCAAGCAGCTTCAGTTTTAAATGCTTCATTTTTCCCCCCAGATCAAAACTGTTTATACAACATGCTTCTGTTTCGCTCGTCCAACTGTTTGCCTGTATTATAACCTTGTGCCTTTGTTGAAACCTGGATGTTAATCTGTACAGTAGCAAGTTCCAGTGTTAAACTATCTCTTGGGAATAAACACAGTAATAAGCCTTTCGCTACTGGTTTGGTCTACTGTTAGAATCCAGTGCTGCTGCTATGGGGAATTTCAGGCTTTACTGTTTTACCAGATGAAAAACTGCATGTTTTTCTGCCCTGGGCCCAAAGTACCACTGTGGCTTAGCTTGTTTACTCTTGTGGTTGGTTTGAGGAGTTATATATGGTAATGCATATGTGCATTGTTTTTGGCTGCGGTCCAAAAACAGAAAGGCTTGTGACGGGGAAGGCTGTAAGGAAGGGGCTGCGATTGTTCATGCATTATATAGTTCAAAAAGGCTTAACCAGCCATTTGTAGCAACTCTTTTCTACAAACTCAACTAGATCAAGCCATTTGTAGCACCTAAACCTCCCTGCTAAACGTACCTCCCGGCACAAATCTGCTCTCTCGTGAGAGCTGTCTTGCTTTCAGTGATGCCCCGAGAAGCTCAGAGTTGATGAACTGGAGTCTACTGAGAGAGTTGGAGTTGTTCGGCCCAATTGCGTGACGCGCGCTAGGTGAAATGATGGACCACATCTGCTCTCGAGCTGCTATCAGCCTCTACACGCGGTTCATACCGATCGGCGCATCCACCCACGTTCCATGCCCGCATGCTACTGCCCGCTGGGCTAACACAACGGGTCCGCGGACTCCTTCACGCTATAAAGATTCACGGCAACCGCCTATCGACGGATCCGTCGTAGTCTAGGTGGTTAGGATACTCGGCTCTCACCCGAGAGACCCGGGTTCAAGTCCCGGCGACGGAATTTTTTTGCCCTGTCAGCCATTTTTGTCTCCGGCCTGAAGCGTCCCCTTCAAGCGGGCACACTCACGCTCTCCTCCGGCGTCACGGCGCGGGTGCCCCATCGCCGACGGTTCCCGCTCAGCAAAATTAATGCGGCTTGGGCGCTGGCCTAACATGTTTGTTGTTGCTGAAACAGGAAAAGCCAAAGCCCATGCTGGCCTAACCACGTCCGGATTCATGCATACTCGAGCGCCAAGCCCGCTCCCACCGCCCCAGCCCGGCACCGACATCTCACGAGGCACCGGCCGGCCAACGGCCAGGGGGGCACTCATCATATCCATCCGGCGAGGAAACCGCCCGGGCCCGCGTCACGAGGCGTACCGTAGGCAGGCAGTCCTTTGTTGGAAGCATTCAACAACTCGTACTCGAGTGTACGGTGTACCTGCGCGTACGTCGTGGGCGCACGCACATGGTACTGATGCGCCATACTACTATGTACCAGGCGAGTGTAGCCTGAATCTGCGCTCCTCAACGGATTGTGGACGTGAATGATGCACCGAAACAGCCATGTGATCTATGCCTGGACTGTCCCTATCCCTATACGACGCACATACACAGTACAGGTCTGCGGCAGTAGTGCATTCTTTACTCTGTGCGTCTAACATATACACGTGTCAGGGGCGGTCGAATTTCGTGTTTTGACCCTTTTGACAAAGAAATTCAAGATCTGACCTCGATTGCAAAAAAAAATCGGAATTTGACCCTTTTGCTACCGTCAGGGTCTCTGACGGTAGGGTTAGACAGCCTACCACAACGTACCATGGCGGTAGGGTGTGACGGAGGGGGACGGCGGCCGTTTGACTGCGCTGACGTGGATAAGTACCTACCGCCAGGAGGCCTGGCGATAGGCTGTCTATACCTACCGCCAGAGCACCTGGCGGTAGGGTGTAGCAGGGTTTTACCGCACAAACCTTCTGTAACGAAATGTGCAGTGGACCTGGCGGTAGGTGCACCCTACCGCCATGGGCCCTGGCGGTAGGCTGTGCGACCCTACCGCCATGGGCTCATGGCGGTAGGGTCCTGTGTTTTCCAGTGTAATGTTTCTGTAACGAAGAATGGAAGGGCCCTGGCGGTAGGTGCGCCCTACCGCCAAGGTGGCTGGCGGTAGGTTGTGCGACCCTACCGCCAGAGCCCATGTCGGTAGGGTCATGTGTTTTCCAGTGTAATGTTTCTGTAACGAAGAATGGAAGGGCCCTGTCGGTAGGTGCGGCCTACCGCCAAGGTGGCTGGCGGTAGGCTGTGTGAACCTACCGCCATGGTCCTTGGCGGTAGGGTCCTGTGTTTTGTTGTTTCTAGTTCATTTGGTTGTTTGTTTTCGAATGCAATATGACAGCAATATACAACAAGTTTTACAAATATGACAACAATCACAGATTTTAAACAATTAAACTTGGCCATCACATAGATCAACATTAGATAACTTGTGCATATAACATTTCAAACGAACTTCAACGGAGTTCCACGTAGTAGCAAACACATAGATCTACAAATAGCAAACACATAGTTCCACGTAGTTTCATAACCACTAGACAAGTTCAACCAAACTAAAAGAGCCAAGTATCGAAGAGCATAATCAGTTGCTCCTTCCCCTCTTGGAGGTACGGTCCTCGTTACTCTTTGAACGAGTCTCTTCGGTCTTCTTCTTGGGCCGTCGAGGAACCGGTCTCTGGATAGGGTCCGGACTCAGCAAATCCTTCTTCTTCGGATTCCTCTTCTTCGACAGCTGAGATGCTTGAGATGTTTGAGTTGGTGGAGGTCCATAATCTTCATCGTACTCCTCCTCCCCGTTGCTCTCATCCTCCTCCTCCCCTTCTTCATATGTGGCCTCCTCCTCCTCCTCCTCCTTCTCCCCAACCAACCTAGACGACGAGGGAGCATGGCTCGATGAACCGATGAGACCCTGTGTGGCTATAGGCTGATAAGCTTCAACTGACCCAGCTCCAGCACACCCAAGCAGCCCTACCATCTTGCGACAACGTTGCACGAACTTCTGCACTCACAATGAAGCAAGGTCATAATAAGTATCAGATCGACTGATTGCAAGTGAACAAGATGCATCTGTTCCGAGGAGGCTGAAATTGTACCTTCATCGTTCCCCTGACTCTGGTCTCCGATTGTACGCTCCCGGGAAGATCACCTAGTGCATCTGAGGCTTCAAAGATGCATCTGTTCAGCTCACCGGACTGCAACGACATAAGTCAGTCACGATGACGAATAAAATATTTTAAATACGAACATCGGTTCAAACTTACCACTCTGTTGATGAGGGGTGCAAACTCCCTAAATCCACTGTGCATGTCTCTGATGCTGGACTGGTGTGCCTGTTCATCGGGGTCATCCCTCTGCAGCTCCGCGATGTCTTCCGACATCCATCGAGGCCTGAGACAAAGACGGTGCATGTCTTCCGGTGCTCCGAGAGCCAGATCAACGGCACACCGGACGTACGGTTACTCTTGGCATCGGGGCAATCGCCGATGAGGGTGGGGACCCTCTCCTGCCAGTTGGTCCTCCCACTCGACCGGTGAGTGCATGACCCTCGACCGGCATTGCAGTAATCATCCCCCAGTCCTCTAGGGTCACCGTCATCTCCCCGCATGGCAGATGGAAAGAATGGGTCTCCGGTCTCCACCGGTCAATCAGAGTTGTGAGAGCCGCATGGACAAGCGTCGGCGGCTGACGCTTGAACTGCAACACGAAACCCAACAGACAAGCTTTCTTGAAGAACGGCGCGTAGCGCTAGTCATAGTCCATATGCCCATGAACCCCGTGACCCCTCATGCGCAGTGGCTAGAGCGTCTGTCAAAAAGTGAACGCCAAAAGTTAGGAAATCATTTTCATCAATCCGAAAACTTTGATCAAAATTTCTTTCATATCACTTACCTCTCCGTTCTCTATGAAACGGGCACGATGACCCTTGTCGAATGCCCAGTCCAGCATGCAGTACCGTGGGCCGATGTTGTCCGCAAGAGGTGGCCGCCTTAATAGAGTTTCATAAACAAAAGCACCATAAGCATAATCATACACAAACAAACAATGAACTCAAATCATATTAAAATAAAATTTTAAGCATATTCCTCCAACAATATCTACTAGACATGATGGATCAAATCATATCAACATGCATCATATAAAAAAAAAACCTCCAACATACATCATATCTTCATATATTTAAATAAAATTTTCCAAACAACATCTTCATATCATCATATCAACATGCATCATCAAACTAGGGTTCATATTCACACTAGATCATATCATCATATCACATGCATCATCAAACTAGGGTTCATCCTCATATCAACATTACATCATAATTTTTTTAACAAAAAAAATTATGAACTAGGGTTCATCTTCACACTAACATATGAACTATTGATTAGAGTTCATATCCAATACCACTACTTACTAAAGAACTAAGAACTACAACTACAATCAATCTTAGGTGGAAAAAAATCCAATCTAAGTTCAAAAACATGAGGGATTTCAAGCAAATAATGCGTCGAATTGGAAGCAAGTTTGCAAAAACTAATTGGAGGGATCGGAGGAGCTTACGGTTCTCTCCTTGGGCCATCTCGATCCGCCAAAACGGTGAAGAATCGGTGAAGATCCAAGGGGTGGAGTGGAGGAGATG